CACTCACCTCCTTCAGGCCATTTCTTCTTCAGTTATACCTGCGCTCACTCACATTATTAATACCTCTCTTCACTCTAATACATTTCCCACAGCATTCAAGCAGGCTCGGGTAACCCCACTGCTTAAGAAAGCCTCTCTAAATCCAGCACTTTTAGAAAACTACAGATTGGTATCCCTTCTTCCATTCATTGCAAAGACACTTGAGCGAGTTGTGTTCAATCAACTCTCTATGTTTCTTGCACAGAACAACCACCTGGACAACAACCAATCTGGCTTCAAAAGCGGCCACTCAACTGAGACTGCCCTGCTCTCGGTTACTGAAGCCCTGAGACTGGCAAGAGTGGTCTTAGCCAACCCAGCACTTCATCACAACTTCTCTATACAGCTGGGTTTGTCAACCATAACTCCTTCCAGGACAGCCGGGAACCTTGGAGTTGTGATCGATGATCAGTTAAGCTTCACAGACCATATTGCTACAATGGCCCGGTCCTGCAGGTTTGCCTTATACAACTATAGGAAGATTAGACCCTTCCTAACAGAGCAGACCGCATAACTCCTTGTCCAAGCTCTTGTTCTCTCCAGACTGGACTGTCGTAATGCTCTCTTGGCAGGCCTTCCTGCATGTACTATCAAGCCTCTGCAACTGATCCAGAATGCAGCAGCCAGAGTGGTCTTCAACGAGCTGAAGAAAGCTCACGTCACCCCTCTCTTCATCAGCTTTCACTGGCTGCCAATAGTCGCTCACATCAAATTCAAGAGACTGATGCTTACCTACAAGACAACCACTGACGCTGCACCAATACACCTAAACTCACTAGTTCAGCCCTACGCACCCTCCAGAAGCTTGCGTTCTGGAAGTGAACGACGCCTCGTGTTTCCATCTACAAGACAACAACTGGCGCTGCACCAATATACCTAAACTCCCTAGTTCAAACTTAATCACCCTCCAGAAGCTTGCATTCTGTAAGTGAGCGACGCCTTATGGTGCCATCCCAAAGAGGCACAAAATCACTCTCACTGACCTTTTCCTGGACTGTGCCCAGAGGGTGGAATGATCTCAATTCGAACAGCTGAGTCTTTGGCCATTTTCAAAAAAACGTCTAAAGACACATCTTTTTCGCCAGCACCTGACCAACTAATACTAGCACTTACCTATTCTATTCTATTCCATTCTATTAAAAAAAGAAAGAAAGAAAGAAAAAACCCTAGCTATGTGTACTGTGCTAGACTAACTGAGACTTGTCACAGCACTTGCATACTGTTGCTCTCTCGTTCATCTGATTGCTTTTTTTGTTCTCCTCATTTGTAAGTCGCTTTGTATAAAAGCGTCTGCTAAATGATTAAATGTAAATGTAACCTAAATTCAAGGTCATAATAAAATGGGAGTCATATTAGAATTTAACCTAAATTTAATAACTTTGCACACCGAAAAGACCGAACACGCAGGAAACCTTCATCCACCATTGAATACCTTCGTTGGGCCAATTGTGTGGACCCTACAATATGATATACTTCTTTTCTTTTAAAGAGGAAGGTCTGAAGAACAAATAATGTTGAAACTAGAGATGTATCTTGTTTACTTCTGTCAAAACAACAGACAGGAACATAACTGTCTGAGTGCCATAAATATTATTTTTCCAAAGTGTGCGTACCTATAACTCAGGAAGTGTTATTATAGTATTAGGAAGTATTAAAGATATCACAATATGATTTTAGATTCTAGTTCTTAATAAAGTTTTTTTTCAAGGCCCTACATCATTCAGTCCCAGAGATATGGGGGATCTCAATGAGGGTCCATGTCCAGATTGTTGAATATTACCTATTTTCAGTGGTTGAAAACCAAATGTTAGTCACTTTGATTACAGCTGATACTTATTTAATTTAAAAAGCAATGTCTGAAGAATAAATAATGTCTAAATTAGAAATGCATCTTGTTTCCCTCTATCAAAACAATTGTATAGGACATAGTTGTTTGAGTGTCATAAATATTCTTTTTCCAAAATTTGCGTGCCTGTAACTCAAGAAGTATTAAAGTTATCTTAGTATGATTTTAGATTCAGATTCCTAAGAAACTTTTCTTTTTGAATCTTCATTTTTAAGGCCCTGTGTGGTTTAATCCCAGAGATATCGAGATCTCAGTGCAGCTCCATATCCAAATTGTTGTATCCTACCTATTTTCAATGGTCAAAAACCAAATAAGGTTTTGTGTTTATCTAGTCATCACTGTTGTCACTGTCAGATATGCAAATAATAACAGTAACTTAGGGTTTAGGAATGTACAGTGTGACACGTCGGATTATGAATCGTTAACTCTAGGTAAAGTATGAACAGTGTGAAACGTAAAATAAGATTACCCAGGATCCCATTTACCTGGGGTTTAGAATTACCCAGTGTTAATTATTTCAAGTGTGAGTGACCTTAAATGTTTGAGGTACTATCACTGATTCTGCCAAATATGGCCTTTAGCAGTAGATACTACTTATGCTTCACATTTTATAATAATAAAAAAGAAAAAGAAATGTAATTAATCCAGGTGAGGCAAATCTTGGTCTATTGATGTGAATACAATGTGTGGCTAAAGCAAGCACTTTTCTTTATGAGGCATGATATTTGTTTTAAACGTTACGATACTGCAAAGCTGAACTCTTGGTAGCTTCAGAAGCTTTTAAAATGAACAAAATACTTTCTTCCAAATATCCCTAAAACTGATATAGAAATATAGAATCTTAGAAATAGAAATAGAAATATAGAATCTTAGAAATAGACTACAGAGAGCAAGGTAATGTGCCTCAAATTGATAATTTCAGTGCATTTTTAGCACTCAGACGTGTGTTCTATGCATATTGTTTTGATTGAAGGGAAACAAGATACAATTATAATTTCAACATTATTTATTATTCAGACATTGTTGTTTAAATACACTAAGTATCAGCTGTATACAAAGTGACCAACATTTGGTTTTTGACTACTGAAAATGGGTAATGTTCAACAATCTGGACATGGAGCCTCATTGAGATGCCCATATCTCTTGGACTGAATGATGTAGAGCTTTGAAAATGGAGATTCTAAAAGAAAAGGTTATTAAGAACTAGAATCTAAAATCATATTGTTATATATTTAATACTTCCTGAGTTATAGGCACACAAACTTTGGAAAAAGAATATTTATGGCACTCAGACAGGTATGTTCCTTTTGACAGAAGGAAGCGAGATAAATCTCTAGTTTCAACATTATTTGTTCTTCAGACCTTCCTCTTTAAAAGAAAAGTAGTATAATTTTTAACTAAATTGACCCACATTTGGTTTTTGACCACTAAAAATGTGTACAATTTAATGATTTAATCCTGGAGCCATATTGAAATTCAGGTATCTCTCGAACCGGACCATATAGGCCCTTAAAAATGAGGATGCCAAAAGGAAAGTTTGTTATGACCCAATATATAAAAGGGCATTAAGATATCTTTAATACTTCTTGAGTTACAGGCATACAAACATTGGAGAAAAAAAGTGCTCATTCCCCATGTTTGAATGGTCACCATTGGCACATAATACAACAAAGATTGCTAAATGTAACATATTTTACTAGCAGACCTACCAATCTCTAGAGTGAGTCTCTTTTGGGAAGTGAAGGAAGAAGTGTGGTTAGTTAGTTGTGAATATATTTTAACAGTACAGGCTCTCTGTAGGTCTTAAAAAGTCTTTTAAAAGTCTTAATTTGCCCTTTCACAAATGAAAGCCTTAAAAAGCTTTCAAACCAAATTAGAAAGTGTTAAATTCATAAAGGCCTGGCATTATGTTGCATGCATTGCAATAAATAAATAAATATACTAAAATTATCTACAGTATTTTTGTCTTATTTTCCAGTCCAAACATTCTTAAATCAAGATACATTTACTTGCAACATATAAAATGAATTCAAATGTAATGGAGATCTGTTGGAAGTTGTATTTTCAAACTGTTGCTAATGGAACTCATTTTCTGCTGCCTACATGTTTATGTTTAGAGAACATATTGACATATTGTGTTCCCTTTAGTTTGAGTCTTGTATTTACTTTGTCTTAAAAAAGTATTTAATAGCTTTCATAAAACCTGCAGTTTGCATGTCAAAACGTCATCAGGACCTGGTTGTAATAAACCGCTTAAGTGAAGAAAATACAAATCATTAGGTCTCAAAATCCAAATGAATCAAATAGGGTTGACATGCCAATGAATGCATGCGTGCCACTTGATCCACAAATGCACATCTTCTTTGTTGCATGCGCAAATTCTGATATACTAATACAAAAGAAAACATCTATATTCACAAACATGTTTCTGTTTGTACAAACCGCTGCACATTTGTGTATTTCTGAATTTCACAGGCACAAGTTGACAGGCATTTTGGTTGTGGATAGTAAGATACATTTGTAACATTTATTAATTTCATGGATAATTGTTCATACATTTGTTAGTAAATTTTAGACTAATTTCATCCCATACTTTATCAGCACTTTCAGTTTATTATTTCTATTTTAATTCCTCTGAAGATGATAAAGCAGGTTGCCAAAAAAAAGTGAAATTAACGAAAACTGGTCCTTTTATGGCATCAAACCCATGACTCTCCTATCGAGATGAAGTGTTTTTGTAAATGTCAGATAAAGAGGAGGATCCTGATGATCAGAAAGATATTTAAAGATGCATCCGTCACCTGAACATTCACAAGATTCTCAGCGCATACGGTGAGTTTGATTTCTGGTCATTTTGAAAACGATGTTTCTTTCTTCAGAAAATGACAGAATGCATGTTCATGCTCAAAAAAAGTGTCTGTATTTGTCTGAACTGTATTTCAGGTGCATCTGATCCTCCGAGCTGGACGTCTGAAGCGATGATCACAAACATGATTGTGAGTTTCTGTATGTGAGAATGTGAGTGTGATTTTATCAGACGTCGATCATCAGACTCAGATCTTGAGTTTGTGTCTCTCAGCTGTTGCTGTGTTTGTCTGCGCTGTTTCCCGTCTTGATGAGCACGGATGAGGTCAAATCAGATTGTTTTCTTGCCAGAGATTGCTCTGATATTTATTTGAGTGGGAAAAATGGCAGTGGCGTGTACACCATCAACACAATGGATGGAGCAGTGCAGGTCTTCTGTGAGATGGTCTGCGGCGGACAAAACGACAGAGGACACTGGACGGTATGCATTTTACTTTGAGCTAATGTTTTATCTTATTTTATTAGCAGATGCACCTCAGAGTGATTCGCATGCAGCTAACAAATGCATGTTATAAAAACATTGTTTTAAAGTGTTTCTAAAATATTGAAATGTCTAGTTTTCTTGTTATGAACGTTATTTAAAATCTACAAAAATACTTCTTACTACGTTCTACCAACTGTTTTTCACCCAAATCATAATGGTATTTTAAAACTAATTTTTTAAATTCCAAGAATGTAAAAAAAAAAATCCAGTTTTCTTGTCATTGATACCATTGGTTGATATACCATTTGCATATTTTATCATAACATATATATTTTTTATTAAATATTACACAAATTGTCACTCAGTGCTTTTATTTGTGCTCTACTTCTATCTGAGTATGAAGTATTTATTTTTGCAGCTGTTTGGTGATGCTTGTGAAATTACACAACAGATTTTACATTTGTTGCTAAAGAAAGCCTGTCAACTTTAAAAATAAGCTTTTATGTCATAAAAATGTTAAATGGATGAATTATGTGAAATGATGTGATGTGTGAAAGCGATGAATGATTTCTGAATGTTTCAGGTGTTTCTCAGGCGAATGGACGGCGAGGTGAATTTCTTCAGGCCATGGGAGAGTTATAAGAAGGGTTTCGGTAATAAAACAGGCGAATACTGGCTGGGTGAGTGATTGGACACATGGACACATGGAAAACTGTAATCAGGACTGCAGTATAAATGCAGAGTTATATAGTTTGTATTTGGACATTTGTTTTTGATTTACTAAAAGTTTCCTTTCATGTTTTCAAAAGGATTAGAGTGCATTCATCAGCTGACACGCAGGCATCAGTATAAACTCAGAGTAGATGTGGAGGACTTTGAAGGGCAGAAGGCTTACGCTCTGTACGAGTCTTTCTCTGTGGACTCTGAGGCTGATGGGTACAAACTGCATGTTAGCGGCTTTGTAAATGGAGGAGCAGGTGAAACAAACTACAGATGTTTCATTTTCCAGTTTTCAATTGTTTGGCCCTAATGATAAAAGAGGAATAGAATCTTTTAAGCCATGCTTAAACTAATGATAATGATCTAAAACTCATTTTAGACATCCAAATGAAAGATCCTATAATGAAAGTTTCTCCTTTCTGCAGGTGACTCTTTGAGTCTTCACAATGGAATGAAGTTCTCCACCTTTGACAAAGACCAAGATAATTGGAGAGATAGTTGCACCACGAAATACTCTCTAGGAGCGTTTTGGTACAACAATTGTGAACACACAAACCCCACTGGTCTGTATTTGTGGGGGAAAGATGATGGCAGTTTGGTTATTGGGCCCACCTGGTACCACTGGAAGAGCAGCTTTAAATCTCTGAAGACCATCACCATGAAGATCAGACGCGTGATGTAGAGCAGGCCTTACAAACGCTTCACTGCAGCTTGTGCACACATCCACAACTTCATGCATACATGTGGATCTTTCCTAAAATATGATGACAAATCAAATCCATTGTCTTCTTAAATAAAAATGTGTTGAAATTGGGTTCATGACTTTTCAGCATGCTTTATCCGCTTTGATTTTGAAGCAATAAAACTTTATGCAAAGCAGCATGTTGTTTTGTGTGTTTTAAGTATTAAAGGAGGGCGATGCTCATGTGGGCTTCATGTATGATTTAAAATAGTTTATTAAGGATTTCTGCAGGTTTTATGAAGGTCAATTTTTGCGACATGCTTTTAACAGTAATTCAAACTTAAGGACCAAATTGAAAGGAACACAATACGTCAATGTGTTCTCTACACATTAATGTCTAGGGAGTAGAAAATGAATTGCATTAGCAACAGTTTGAAAATACAACTTCCAACAGATCTCCATTATGTTTTAATTCATTTGACAAAAAAGCTAGAATATGGAAATAACTTCTACTGCCTTCTGATCACACTGCAAAAAAAGTACTGTTCTTCCTCAGCATTTTTGCCTTTTTTTTCTAGTGTAAATAAAGGTGAAAGAAACATCACATAATGACATGTTTTCTGAGAAACTGATGAAAATGAAGTGAGTTAACAAGATCAAATATCTGCCAACAGGCTCAGAAAAACCAACTTTATTCAAAGGGGAACATGTTTTCATAGCTCACTGTAGGGCTAGGCAATAAAACGATAACAATATCACTCATTAGAACATGCAGAAACTAAGAAATTAAGTGTTTGTCATGTTCTGAGCATAAACAGTAATTTAAAACCCCAACTGACAGTCTGGTTTCTACAACTTTCACTTAGGAGCAACAATATACCTTTAAACTTAATAAAGAAATAAAGATTGGACATTTATCGCGATAGTTATCGAAATCAACTGATACGAAAATAATTATATTGTGATCATTTTTCGGCCATATCGCCCAGCCCTAGCTCACTGACTGATATTCGTTATTGTATAAACTCACTTAATTTTGTTCACTTTCTCAGAGAACAAGACTACAACTATCTTCATTTTGCATTTCAAGTAAACATATCTTGATGTAAGGATGTTTAGATATTTGTACTGGAAAAAAAGCCAAAAATACTCCACAAGATATTCTTTTTTTTTTTTTTTTTTGCAGTGCATGCAACATTTAATACCATGCCTTTATGAATTTAAGACTTTTTTTTCTTAATTTGTGGAAGCGTGAATTAAGCTTTTTAAAGACCTTTTTTTTTTTACCTACCTTAAATTATTTAACAGTTTTTAAAAGACAGTAGTTATAGATATAGTTCTTGGTGTGAAGTGCTATAATGACTTTATAATAGACTTTAAACTCTGCAAAATGATTTTGATTGAGATGTTGTCGAGCTTAAGTTGATTTGAACCCACTGCTTCTAGGAAAGGTTGTGTATAATTTGTGTAATGTTTTTGATCCATCCGTTAGGGGGCGCTGCTGCATCTGAAATCCCCCTCACACTGGTTGATTAATGGCACACCTGTGTACAATAAATAATTGTATGGTTTTAAAAAAGGAGAGGGGAAGGATAAGGGATGTTTTTCTGATAACTGGCTGTTAAAGACACTTATGAGCCTAGCTTGAGCCTGCGGGGTTCACAAAAAGAAAGGGGATTGTTTTGTGGCATTCGTGGCTGGTTTGCCAAAGAAAGCGAGACTTATTGGCCCAGAGGTAGATAGTGGGGAAAAATCTGGATAGAAAGTAAAGGGAAAATAGGTGGACACCTGCAGGCCTCTTGGCCACCTTTGCAGGCCTTATACCCAAAGCCACTGGAAGGCAAGCCTGCAACCTTTAGCCAAAAAAGTGCAATGGCTAATACTAATGCTGCGGCTTTGGTGGTATGCAGTGAAGGAGACCAGCTTATGTTATTCCCTTATTAAAAGGTGAAGACCCTTTGGAGTTGAACAATTATCATCATATGTCCAAACATTCAGTTCTAGCTCCTTATATCCCAGGTAAATTTGCACCAGTTTTCAGCTGGAAATATTTTATGTGACTCTGTCAGTTTTAGAACTGGCCATAGTACCATTACTGTTGCTATGGTTGTGACAAATGATCTTATTGGTGCTTTGGACAGAAAACAGCATTGCACTGCCTTGTTTGTGGATTTAATAAGACATTTGGTTCGGTGGATTACAAACTGAAGCTGAAAAAAAGCTGAAAAAACTCGTGCTAATGCTAAAAAAACTAATGCTGGTCTTAGTCTTAAGGCTGTTGATTGGTTAAAAAATTATTTTGTAGACCAAATTCATTAGCCGCTTTTTCCAGTTTAACAGAACTGTCAGGTATGGTTCCAGTTGTATTTCCACGTGAGCCTGGTACAGCGCGGCATGATTACAAAGCGTTCTCAGACCGGAATTCTCGGCACGGATAGACAACCGTGCTGAGCCGTGCTGGTAGAGTGCGTGTGCGTGACATCGCCACTCAGGATCTGTCACTTGTCTGTTGCCTGGCTGCTAGTTTCTCCGTAGCTTGCAAAGCGCGCTATTTTGATCAATGTAAACACAAATTAGTAATAAAATCTAAAGAAATTTCTGATCATCCACCATAACTCGGTGGTTATTTACACCTCATATCACATGTAAACCCGTCTGTTACCACAGCAACGACTGACGCATTTGAATTGCATTCCAAAAATAAACTAAACTAACTAACTAACTAACATAACTGTACCGGCCGGCGCAGAATGGAACGATTATGCAAAGAGAATTGGCTATTGTGTCTGTGTTGAAGGCCATAAATCAGGCTTTCTCAAGATAACTAACGGTGTTCCCCAGGGTTCCATTTTGGGGCCTGTTTTATTTCCTGTTTTTATAAATTATTTTGGAAAGGATATCAAAGCAAAATTACGCCTGTATGCAGATGACTCTATTACACATATGACATAGGCTTTTTCCATAGTACAGGCAGTGCAGGAACTTCAGATTGAATTTAATTCATAACAAACTGTTCTGTTGAGTTATATACATTGATGAATTTAAGGCAGTCATAAAGAATGTGGTGAATAATGCATGTGATTGTTTTTGTAAAAGGCCTCTGTGTTTCATATGTGTTGTGTATGTTGTATCTTAATTGTGAGTTTTGTATGGCTGCTACCATGGCCAGGTCTCTCTTGAAAAAGAGATCATTGATCACAATGGGACTTCCTGGTGAAATAAGGTAGTATAAATATATAAAATAAGAAGACTCAGCGGTGCTCCTCTGTGTTTTCTTACAATATTTATGTATAGTCAGGTTAAGGCGGCTGGTATGGTGTGTTGGCTTCTCCATGTGGTCCTGTTTGGTATTGCCAGTGTTGGGGAAAGTTACTTTTAAAAGTAATGCATTACAATATTGCGTTACTCCCTAAAAAAAGTAACTAATTACATTACTTAGTTACTTTTTATGGAAAGTAATGCGTTATGTTACTTTTGAGTTACTTTCTAAGTCTTGCTTGCTTGTTTGTTTTTAATATAAAAAAGTTCTTCTTTTACAAATGTAAAAGCCCTTTTCTCATCAGAAGTTAAATGAATATGCCTCAGGCTGAAGGAAATGTAAATTCACGTCTGTACAGTAGAGGGCGCAGCTCAAACAAATTGCATGAAGAATATGATGCAGGAGAACAAAGTTCAACACTATTCAGCAATAACAAAAATTAAACACAAATGTGTCATTTTTGCTTATTAGTATGGCTGAATTAGATCATCGAAGGTCAGTAGCAAAGACATTGGTTAATAAAATGGGATTAAATACATAAATTATATTGGTCTTATTTAACAAATTTAATTATTGAGTTTGAATTTGACTGTTTTTATTCATTTTGAGGAATACTGAATCTGTGTTGTGCAGCGAGAAGAGTAAATAATATTCATATTTAGTCTACAGTCATGGCCAAAAGTTTTGCAAAGTTTGCTGCTTCAGTATTTGTAGATTATTTTTCCACATGTTTCTATGGTATACTGAAAAACAATCATAAGCATATCATAAGTTTTAAAGGCTTTTATTGGCAAAAAAATATGAGTCAATATTTACAGTGTTGACCCTTATTCTTCATAACCTCTGCAATTGGCTCTGGCATGCTGGATATTAGCTTCTGGGCCAAATACTGACTGATGGCGATCCATTCTTGCCTTATTAGTTCTCGGAGTTGATCACAATCAGTGGGCTTCTGCTTGTCCACTCGCCTTTTGAGGACTGACCACAGGTTCTCTATGGGATTGAGATCCGGGGAGTTGCCTGGCCACGGATCCAAAATCTCAGTGTAATGATCTTCGAGCCACTTCTTTATCACGCTTCCTTTGTGACATGGTGCTCCATCATGCTGGAAAATGCACGGATCATCACCAAATTGCTCATGGATCATTGGAAGAAGTCGCTCTTGCAGGACGTTTTGATACCATTCTTTATTCATGGCAGTGTTTTTGGGCAGAATTATGAGAGAGCCCACTCGCTTTGGTGGAAAAACAACCCCACATATGGATGGTCTCAGGATGCTTCACTGTTGGCACGACACAGGACTCATGGTAGCGTTCACCTTTTCTTCTCCGAACAATCGATTTTCCAGATGTCCCAAACAGTTGGAAGGGAGCTTCATCAGAGAAAATAACTTTGCACCAGTCTTCTACTGTCCAATCCTTGTACTTCCTGCAGAATTTCAGTCTGTCCTTGACGTTTTTCTTGGAGAGAAGTAGTTCTTAATGGTTCTTTCAGGTGCAATATTATTTGCAATTTCCTTGCATGTGAGGCCATTTTTGATGCAAAGCGATGATGGCTGCACGTGTTTCTTTGGAGGTAACCATTGATAACAAGAACACAATGATTGGAAGCGCTTCTTCCCTCCTTTTATAGCAATCAGTCTGCTCTTACAATCTAATTAGTATGATAGTGATTATACCTGACTAGTACTCATTCACACTTTCACATGTGCTGCTGATATGATTAGTCAATTAATGTTAGC